GGGAAGCGCCTGGTGCTCAGGGATGCTCACGGGCTTACCCACCTTGTCTGGGTACCAGCCACGCCACGGCGAGAGCGCAGAGCTCGTTTTAGGACTGCAGCAGAGAGCAATAGTCCCCAAACGCTGCTATGCCTGGCCTCAAAGATATTCACGATGAGGGTGATTTCTGAGATGGCGCAACCAGAAAGTGTTTGGACCCGGCAGCCAGGAGTGTAAGGACCTGCACAAAGCACATGTGCCAGCTCGCTCTCCCTCTCATCCAGGCTGGGAAGGGCTGACAGGGCTTGCAGCCTTCCCAGCTCTGAGCTCTGTGGAATTATTTATTATGTCCCCGAGAGCTGTGAGCAGCAGCCAGTGCCCTCCATTTCGATCACCTGCACTCATATTGGGTGCTCCCCAGTGCTGTGTGCAGCCCATCTGCTGCAAGGGGATGATTGCAAGCATCCCAGGATGCTGCAGTGATACAAAGCCATTGATTTTTTTTTTTTTTTTAATTCTCATCATGTAAAGCAGCTGTTTTCTCCCCACCACTGCCAAATAGCAGGGTGGGGGCAGGTGGTCCGCCCAGGGTGGCAGTTCCCAGTCCCCAAGCCAGAAGGATGCTGCGGAGCCAGGAGCTGTGCCCTGGGGCTGGGAGGAGGGACGGTGTCACGCTGGGGATGCGAAACCCATTAGCGTTTTATTCTGCAAAGCCAATGCACGTGGGAATGGCAACCCCTCGATGGCGAGTTAAGTGAATAGATGTGACGAGACATGTTTGTTTATCAAAATACTAATCGGTGCCAGGGGGATGGGGTGTGTTTTGGGTTCAGGGGAGGCAGCATGGCAGGGCGTGGGTGACTGGGAGTGATGGGGACCGCAAACACAGCTGTGTGTGCCTGTGCACCCTGATTACTTGAACTCATCGCTGCTGGGAGTCCCTGCCTCAGATTGTTTCCAGAGATGTGGTACCCTTTATTAACCTGCAGAGATAATTGTAGTTTTAATGTTACCAGTGGGGGCATTCGCGTGAGGTGGAGGCGTTCCTAGAAGACCTCTCCAGGTACCATCCTGGAGGCATCCAGCGTGACTCAGCGTCTTCACTGATGGTTTTTTAAAGTAGGTCTCAAATTGGTGACAATTTTAAAAACTAGGAAATGATCTGAAGATGGGGATGCTGGGAAGTGATCCCAGAAGGTGATGTGGAGCCATGGAAAGCAGTTCAAGCTGTGATCAGCTGCAACCATTCCTGCCAAAGGCAGTTTGGGAGCAGGGCTGTTGCTGAGCCCATGGTGGAAGGGCAGTGCCTGGCCCTGCCCTCAGCGTTTGACAGGGCTGGTTTGACTGATGAGGGAGCGGGGAAGCGCCACATGTGCATAAAAGCTGGGGAAATGCTTCATGCTGGGGGAACGTGAGCGTTCCTCTCGCTTTTTCATCAAGAAGCTAGAAATTGTAAGTGTATATTGCTTTGTCAGGGGGGCAGTGGTGGGCACCCAGCAGCTCTTCAGTCTAGCAAACAGCCTGCATCTGGAAGCCAAAGCCAGACGCGTGCTATCCAGAGCAAGGCACAGGTACATCTGTATACTTATTTATTTTTGAGCTGCATTTAAGCACTAGAACAAACACTCACAGAAAACGGCCTCAGCCTTATCTTGATATCCTGGTTCCAGACTGCTGGTAGCTCCAAGATGGAGCTTGAGCTTGACAAAAGCGCGTTTAGCCCTTGGTATCAAGAGAAGTGGATAAGACTAACAGGCTGCAATGCTTGGGAGTCCCAGAATCCAGGAGAAATCACTCTTTCAGAGTGATGGGGCTGGAGGAGGACGATGCAGAAGAGGTCAGTGTGGATCTGTGCCATTTCTCACCAGGTCCCCACCTCCCTGCCCCACGGCAGGCAGCCCCATTCGGATGAGCGGCACGTGGCCTGCCGTCAGCAACAGCAGCTTCTGCATCCAGCCCCTGCATCCCACCCTGCCTGGCACCTGCAGCCCTATGTGAGCCAACAAGCAGGTGTGCATGGAACTTCTGTGGATGCAAAGCAGATGTCAAGCAGTGTTTTTACCTACTTGCTTGCAAAAATCATCCATCAGGTCTGCCTGCCATGGTGCAGAGAGGTAGGGACCAGGTGAGACGTGGTACAGATCCACGCTGGCCTTTGTATTGTCCTCCACCAGCCCTGTGAAGCCTTCTTGGAAGTGTCTGCTCCGAAAGAGTGGTTTCTTCTGGAATATGGGACTGAAATGATAGCGCTACAGCCTCTCACTGCTGAGGATAGCCCTCATTTTGTCTTGTCCCGTTGATCTGAATGAAGTAATTTATAAGGACGTTTTCCATGAATCAATCAATCTGTGCATGCTGCTGTGCCTGGGAGGTTTAATTTGCTCTAGATACTGCACCAAATATCTCTGTCCTGAATCACGTGGCGAAGTGCTGTTCTTTGGGAGAGGATGGGGATACGGCTGGATCCTCCAGCAACATGCTGCGGGCGGCTCATGGTGCCCGGTCCCTCTTAATTGTGCATCTCCCAATGTGGGCTAAAGAGGTTAGGGAGGGGGTAAGTGCAATAGTTACTCTAGGTATGTGTGTGGAGCTTGAGGAATTTGTCCCTTGTGCCAAGCCATTCCTGATGTTACAGATCTTGGGGAAACTGAAGCCAAAAATTAAAGGAGGGGAGGGAGTGTTGGCCTTTGGAAGGAGACCAGGGTGTGGAAATCTCGGTTACAGGTAGGTTTCCCTTGCTGATCTCTGTGTGATGTTTCCTGTTGAGAGGAATCGAAAAATTCCTGTTGCACTGCGCCACCTCCCCTTCCAAAAACTGCTTTCGCGAGCCAAGGAGCATGCATCTTTTGAAAGCGATGCACATGTGTTAAAGAATCCTGCCATGAGATCTGCCTGAAAAAAGAGGATTCAAAAACACAGCTCTGCTACACATAGAGAAGTCAAAAATAACCCTGAGATCCCTGATCCCGAGCTTGTTTCCCTTGCTTTGTTCGAGCACCGTGGCCTGCTGGGGCCGGAGCAGTAGTCATGAGTGCGTTCATCCTCTGGAAGGGGACCTTGCTTTCTGCCACACGCCATGGGTTTGGGGTGTTTTGTTTGCGCTGAGGGGTGCAAGGCTGTTGTCATGTGTGGGAGGTTGTTTCTGACTTGTTCTTGGTGCATGTTTTGGGGAACTCTGAGCTGATGGAACATGGACTGGGGTTAGCTGTCCCCATGGGCACCCAGAATCTGGCTCTCCATTCCGCTCCGCCTGCCTGGCTGAGCACCCAGTTGACCTCTCCGCTTTTCCTCCAGAGTGGCTCTGAGACCGCCTTGCAGCTCTTGGAGGTCAGAGCTTGTGCTGGGAAATCCAGAAACGTTTCCAGAGCCAAACCACACCACGGCAAGCGGGTGTGTGCCTGGTCTCTGCTTCTCATTTCCTTCATCGCTTCAGAGAGCAGTTGAGCTGCACACGGGATTTCAGCGGGGTGTCCCCTCTTTTGTTCCTATATATGAGAAACGTCTGTGCATGTGTGTATATTTAAATATATATATATATATATATATATATTTAACATAGAGCTTGCACTTGGAAAAAAAAAAAAAGTGTTTACAGGGAACTATCCCAAACTTGCTCAAACCCAGCTAGAAAGACTCCCTCTGATGTGAACAGTTTTTGGAGTAAGTCTCGCAGCACCGGTGGAGAGACTCTGTTGCTGTTATTTGTATCACAGCCTGGCCCAAGCCTTTCCACATGTGCCCAGCTTGTATTTTCTGTCCCCATTTTCCCGCACGCTTGCTGGCAAGTTGGGATAAAACCGATGCAGCTTCTGGTGGCAGGGCTGGATGTGGGCTTGCTGCTTGCCACGCTGCTGCCCATCCTCTGGGATGGCGAATGCAAGGTCAAAGCATCATTGTGCCAATGGCAAACTGGAGCAGCCATATAAAGTTGTCATTTTAAATAATCGCCAGGATGGTTTCTCCTCCCTTTCCCCCCCACCCCTGTCCCCATGTTCTTCCCTGGCACTGTGTCCTTCCCCACCCACAGCCAGGGGGCTGCCTGGATCTGTTGAGGATTTATGTTAAAAGGGAAATCTTATGTACGTAATTAAAACGTTGTATTGCTGGGTAGAAATGGGATTTGGTGCTTACTGCTGTGACTCTTTCTCATGCGTGAGGGTGAACTGATTGATTACTGAGGTTTGAGATTAAATATTCCCCTGAGCTCCGCTGGCATTTAATGTGGTGGGGGGAGTGCAGAGAGAAGGGGAGGAGGAAAACCATCATTTTTCTCCAAGGCAAGGAGAGCAAGGGAATGTCTACTGAGCACATCCCCTTGTCTTGCTCTGCACGCCGTCTGCTGTAACGGAGGCTCCCGGCGCTGGTGTCATGGACCACAATAAATCAGGAGCCTTATTCTGCATCCACGATGGTGGGTGAGCTGCTGGTGGGCTTTGCCGGTTCCTCTCACCACTGGGTCGAGCATCCCATTCCATCCCTGTGACTCAGCTGCATCCTTACCTCCCTGCATCCTGGTCCCCGCTCCAGTGCCTCCGAGCCTGGCGGTGGAGTAGACCTTCTGTCCCCTCCCTTCTCCCTCGGAGCATGCCTTATTTATTTCTTTTCCTTAATTTCTTTTCAATTCAATGGGAGGTTTCAATGGGAGGGGAGGAAAAACTCCAACGTGCCGCTCCTCAAGCACGCAGTGGGAGCCTTGCCGTGCCGGCGCAGGTTGGAGACACCCGCCTTCGCCTGCTTTCCTTGAAGTCTAATTTTAGCTGAAGGCGACGGGATCCCTCCGGGTTACGGCAGAGGTTTCCTATCAGCCTAGACCTTAAGAAACACGCACGCAAACAAAAACAACACGGAAGCACTTAGGTTTATTTGGGTGAATTCTTTTAAAAAAGGGTGTGACTTATTTTTGTGAGCAGCGCCAGCGCACACCGGCTTTGTTCTGTTGCAGTCGGGTATTTCAGGTCTTCCAAGATTTAATCAGAATAATTAGTTACTGTCTGTTTATACCTTCTGTTTTTGTTGCAGAGTTTCCAAAGGGCGTATTTATCTTCCAGAGTGCTGCCTAAGTGTCGCTTAATCATTAAGCATCTGATTTCCTCCAAGTTATCTGTCATGCTGCTTATGTAAGTAAATAAAAAAAAAAAAAGGGAGGGTGGGGATGGTGTTAGTGGATTCTGCTTGGGGGGGGTTGCAAGGATTTTTCCTGATTGTCATGGGTTTAATTGCAAGTTGCCTTTGGTTCCCAGCCCATCATGCAGTGATCAGAGGACTGCATGTTTGGATTGGTGCTTAACGACCCAGCCAGTTTAATGAGGTTGCTTTCAGCCAAGCCTTCATGTATACCCCACTAAACTGGCAAGAGCTGTGTTACTCCCTGTCATTTCAGGAGAGAAAAAAAAAAAAAAAAGACTTTACAGAAATAAAGGGCTTTTGCTTTCGCTTGTACAGTTATGCCTTTGACTCCTTAACCCAGTGGCATCCCTTAGAAAAATCACAGCTCTGCCTGGAAATAAGTTACTGCTATAAATTTGACAGGATTGGAAATTGGGTGTTTTTCAGCCTGTGTCTGCATGTTTGGTTTGGGAATGGGGACTGGTGATGCACACATTTCCCGTCTCTTTAACGCGGGAGATGAGAAAGACACAGAAAAGTGGAAGAGGATGGGGTGCCTGGAAAGCCTCGCAACAAGACAGATGTGGTGCTGAACCCACCCTTGGTTCGTGCTTGGCGCCTAGTTGCATCGCGTGATATTTTCCCTTCAATATTTATCACTGAGAGCAGCTGAGGGCAGCCACTGTGCTGAGGGCAGTGTAAGGCTGGACGATTTGCTTTTTCCCTTGGTTTCTTTTTCTTCATGAGCTGGGGTGGTAGGGTTTGGTAGGGGTTGGGTGCTGAGCTGCTGGCTCATCAGCTGCCCTCTCTACCTCCTTTATCGTGTCCACCGTGCAGACTCTGGGGGTGAGGGTTTGGGGTGCACGCTGCTTCCGTGATGGGTTTAGATCCTTTTAAATCCAGAAGCAGCCATTGCCATCAGCTCCTCTGCTCTCCCATGTGATGGGGACTATACATTTTCAAGGTCAGTAATTTTGTGTTAGCCCTTCTCAGGGATTACGGACACACAGAGGGGCTTCGCTCTCCTTCCAGAGGAAAAGCTCATTAGAGGGAAGGGGCCAGGGCGAGGGTGAGGTGGGACCATCGGGATCTGCGGGGCTTTGGTGGCTTCAGTAGACCCAGCAAAACGCACTTGCATGGAGGCTAAGGTTGAAGTCCATCTCCTCTCTGCGTTTGTTGGGGAGAGTAAAGATGAACCACTGCGTTGGGATATGTGTTGGACTCTGCTGCAGCAGAGCTGAAGATGGGCAGGTTTCCCACGTCCTGTCTGCCTCACCCAGCTTCTGAGCAACATTTTGGGGAGATGCTGGCAAATCCTCTGTCCCCTCTGGGACTGATGTGGCAGCTGTCACAGCTGGCAGCAGGTTGCCAGTGGCCCTTGTTCTTTCTGCTCCAGTGTGCGTGGGGGTGGGAAAAGTCCAATTTGATAGAAATATTCTTAAGGAAGGCTGTCGACCTGATTTTTTCCTTGCCATTTACCCAGCTGGAAAGCTGGTAGAGGTTCAGATGACAGCTCCTGAAGCGCTGGGGATGTGTGATGTGCAGTGCAGCCATTGCTCCTGCCCAGCATGGCCCCTCCAGCCACAGTGAGGGATGCCAGGGCGGGTGGCGGGTCTCTAATCCCCATCCTACTAGTGTGTACCTGCCTGCTTCACTCAGCCTTTTGCAGATCTGCTTGGTTTGGGCAGAGGTAGAGGTGGGGAGGAGGAGCAGAGCTGCTGGAAGTTGAGGAGGGTGAAAGCATGGAGGGGAAGGGAGGTGAGCAGCATCGTGAAGGCAGATGCTGGGAGGAAAAGGAGATGGTGTGCCTTGTTTGCCCGGTGCTTTAGAAGCTGTTTAGTTAAATGAAGCATTCACTAGGGAGCTACATTTGGCTTTTAAATAGCTTTGGAGCATGTGAATGCTCTGTGTTGCTCTTCTCTTTTCTGTGGCAGGAGTCGCCTCCTGTCCCCATCTCTCTTTGAAGAATGTCCCCCTGTTAGAATTCCACCCTGGGACACGGGAGGTGCAGTTTGGTGGCCACGTGCTTTCAAAAAGCCCTTCCAGTTCTCCCCAAGCTCCTCGTCACTCCAGACCACTTGTCCCTTGACTTCTCCCAGTCTGGCCAGTGTGAGCCTCGGTGATTGGGACTGACCATGGGTCCCCTCTCCCACGGAGGCTGCTGCACGCCAGGAGGTTTGGTGTTCATCATGTGGCACCGGTTGGTCTGGGATGAGCTGGTTGGTCTTCTGTCACCTCTCTTTGAGCATCCCACTTAAGGCAGAGCTGATGCCTGTTTGGCTTTCCTATGCTTTTGTAGGGCTGTGTGTTTCTTCTTTCCTTTCAGCCACCTGAAACACTCCTCCAAGAGACTGGAGAATGATTTTTTTTTTTTTTCCTGGAATACCTTATTCCCCAGTTGTTCCTTGGTGCAGAACTGGATGTTCTTTGTGCGTTTGGGTGTCCTGCTGCCTGGTAAAGGAAATTTGTAGCGCTTAGTTTTATTTAATTCCTGTAGAAAATGAAAGTGTTTCAAGCTGTTTCCTCTTCTTGGGCCCCAGAATAACGCACCCCTGTGACAGAGAATGCCAAAGGCAGACACAAATCCTAAGGATGGGGATGCAAAGGATATTTTTCTCTCCAAAAAAACTTCATCTCAGTCAAGGATGGGGAATATTCCCCCACACCATAGCTACCCTTGGAGGACAGGCTGTGTCCCCCCATGCAAACAGACCGTGGCTACCAGGTGCCACTGAGGTGCCCCCAGGCACAGGGCCACTTCCCTGCTCTCATCCTCTGCCATGTGCCCAACAGCCACTTCCAGACATGGCGGGGGGAGGGTTGGGGGGGGGACACCCCCTTTTCCTCATAAAAATCCAAACAAGACTTCCAGACATGGCGGGGGAAGGTTTGGGAGGAGCACACCCCATTTTCCTCATAAAACTCCAAACAAGAGGCTTGGCCTGGTTTAGATTTTAAAAATAACTTGCACATTTGGAAGCTAAAGTTTCAGAAGGGCTCCAAATGGAATAATGGCTTTGATCATGGCAGTCTGAGATCAAGGGAGGGCTTTTTAGGTTTGCTGGATCAGCTGGAAAATATATTGTAGTGTCTAGACTTTATCATCCTCGAGCAAGGCTTTTTTTTTTCAACTCTACAAAAGGTCTAATCAAAAGCCCGCATACAGTTGATAGGAAGGCTTCTTCAGAAAGGAGCCAGCTCTGGGTTTTGATTGTGTCCAGAAGCAAGTTGAAAGAGGTGGAGATCAGCTTTGGACTTTGAAGGACCTCTGAGACTCCGCTTTACAGGCGCTGCTGTTTCTGATGAGGCCATTGGGGTGGGTGGAAGCTGTTGTATCAGCAGCGGGGTGAGGAGGCTGGGGACAGGGATCTGCCGTGTGCCAGCCCCGCAGTCCCCAGAGCGGTTGGTTCTTGCAGCTGAGCACTGCTGAGAGCTTGCTGCTCGCCCTTTGGCTGCTGCAGTTGGGGTCAGCTGCTCAGACCAGCATCTCCCACAACCGTCTCAGTTTTGGCTGTGTAATAACCATAAATGTCCACGTTTGTTGGTGTTTGGACAGAACTTCAGCATTTTTTTACTTAAGTGTAGAAAAATGTATGTTTTTCTCGCTTTACTTTCCATAAGTGAGTTTTTTAAATACTTTTTTTACGGTTTTGTTTGGGTTTTTTATTTTATTGTTTTCCATAATTCCAAAGGATTAGAGGCAGAGGAGTGATTTCCTAAGGTGCTTGGAATAAACTCAAAAGCCTGCCATGAAGGTGAGGACATCTAGCCACGTGCATTCAGTGACTCTCTTCCTGAAAGCCCACATAGCAATCGAGCTCCGTCACTTTGGAAGATGCCCCCTTGAGAAAGCAGAGTCAGTTTTTCTTCGAAACGCTGTGTTTTCTGCACAAGGGTCTTGGGTGTGTTTTGGCAGGTGCGTTGTTGGAAAAGTAATCTCTAACCATCTCCTCAGCGCGCACTGCGACGCACCGTGATGCCGCACTCAAATAATGGCACAGGCTGGAACCACAGCCCGAGGCTCTGGTGGAGTCACAGGCTAGCTGTGAAAGCTTCAGCTGGAAGCTTTGGAAAACATTTGGAAATGTTTTGGAAAACATTTGGATCGAGGGTGTCATAGCTCTGCGTCTGGTTGTTTTCCTTTGCTTTGTCCTTGAGAGAGGGAACTGCTGTTGGTTTCTGTTTTTTCTTTCCATCAGTTACTCTTTCAGACATACTTATTTCCAGGGATGAATCAGAGCAAATGCCAACCTGTAAACAGTTTGTGGTGTAAATGGTATCAAAATTGGGCTGGGAGGGATCTTGAGAGGTTACCTTGTCCCCAAGGCAGGGTCAGTTGAATCCATACATCGGACTGGAAGGCGATCGTGTTTGTTGGGAGTTTTCTCATAAATTATCTAAGGAGCAGAGGCAAAAATCTACCAAATAATGCTGTCAGTATGTGTGCGCAAACCTCCCTCAGTTTATTAAAATCATTTGCTGAATAAGTATTGAAAATTAATGCTGGGTTTGTTCCCAGACCTATTCAAAGTAATATTCCAGAGTAACCTTTTCCGCCTTGGCATTTGCCAAAATACTGCAGCTTTCATGGATGAGATACATTTACCCATAGTCTGTATTTGACGTGGAGCCATGCCTGGTTCGCCCCATTTCTGAGACAACCAGACCCCAGAAACCCCACTGGGATGAAAAGCAGTTTTTTCTTTGGTTCTTGTGCATTAGACGCTACTTTTCAGTTCTCCACGTGGTCTGCACTTGAGATGGAGGGGCAGCAACAGAAAGCCCCCAGACCCACCCTGACAACACGGGGTAATCTGGGATGCTGCAACACCAGCCCCGTGGAAATCAACGGCAACCTCTCCCCTTGACATCTGCAGGTTTAGACAAAGCTGCGAGATCCTGGGCAGTGATGGGAGAGAAGTCTCACTAGAAATCCTTGTCTGCTTTGAGATCGAGAGCCAAGCGATGACTTTCAATTAATTTCTCCTGCATCTTCCTCTGTCCCAGCTTT